TTTTGTGCCAAATATACAAATATTAACAGGACTTTATCTTGAATTTGTTCTCTATTTAAAGCCATTTCTAATTTCTTTAAAAGTTTATTAGATAATGTTTGATTATTCTTTGCTACATTTTCAAAGACATCAATTAAAGTAAATTGATCAGTATCTGGTTTAAAAATTTCAATTAACTTATTAAGTAAATCATATTGTATTATTTGTTTATTTTTTGATATATTGTAGAATATTTGTAAAACATCTTCGTTATGAATTTCATTTTCTAAAGCATTAATCGTATCAATTGGTAATTGCATTCCATTGTTGGTTTGATCTTGTATAAACTTAATAATTGATTTCTTATTAGTTGATTTCGATAGAGTAAAACCAGCTTTAACAAGCTCTAATTTAGAGAATATGTTATCTGGTAAATCTTGATTTTGTCTTGCTTTTTCCAATAGTTTAAATGAATTATATCTTCGTCTTGAATTTATTGACATGTACAAATTGTCAACTAATATTTGCAATGTTTTATTTGTAACTGATTGACCATTACGAATAACATTATGAATAGTGAAGAAAGCGTTTTCAAATCGTTCAGGAAAAGCAAGTTCATTTTCCAAAGCTCTTATTGTACTTGTAGGTATTGTATACGTAGTTGTATAGATTTGAAGTATGTCAAGTACTTTTATACTATAATTTTCGTTTAGCAATAAAATCCCATCAAGCAGAACAAACATATTTTCATCTTCAAATTTTTGTTTGTTTGCTTCAAATTTTAATATTTCAAGTATATTCAAATTAATTTCATTTGCAAAATCAATTCCTCCTAATTTCAAACTTTGTGTAACAAATAATGAACTTAAATTTTCCATATACATGGAATCGATTGGTTTACAACATTCAGCCAATTTGACTAAACCATACGAATAAGCTAAAAGAATATAAACACTTACGTCATAAGTTTGATTATTTACAAAATCTTTCATTTGACTAAGAGCATCATTTTCTAAAGGCATATATTTGGATAAAAAATAAATGCATTTGGATGATATTATTTTTGTTTGTTTATCATCGTTATTTAATGCTAAAACTAAATTATCAATTGTTTTATTTGTTATTTTAACTTGATTTTCAACAGATAATAATATTAATTTAGCTGTTAATAATGAAATTTGATTACCATGTTGATTTTTTTCTGAACGTTGTTCAAAATTTATTTTTGAATCTTCATTTAATATAACTACATTATCACTCTCTAATTTGAGAGATATTTTTTCCAAGTCTTGTTCATCTTCAATATAATTTCTTCCCTGAATAACACGACTTAATATAAGTAAAATATAATTTGAACAACTTTCATCAAAACATTCCATATTATTAATTAATTTTTTCATCATTTTCATTGATAATGAACTTCCTTTTTCAGCAATAATCAGTATAGAAGTAAGTACGGAATTTATAAGAGTAGCAGTTGAATCACTAGACTCCATAACGTATTCAATCAATGATTCCAAATGTTTGTCTTTCAAAGCCTTGTTTGTTTCATGTTCTAAATAATTATTAATTATCTCCATAATATCTTCTTTTATTTTATTATCATAAACGTAATTATTTAATAAATTAATTAATTTCTCAAGTACATCATTGGTAAATAATTCCGCACTTCTTCTCATGTCTTTGGCTTGATTATTCATAAAATTAATTATGACTTCACTATTTTCAGATATTCCACGTATTAATAGATCTATATATGTTTCAAATGTTGTTTTATAATCAATTTCATTAGTTGAATTAGCAATGTTCATTAACTGAAATATTAATTTTGTAAATTGAACATTATCATCTTGATAATTTGTTAAACATTTTTGAATTTTCTTAATTCTCTCTTTAGTAAGAACTTGCTTGTTTCGAATTGAACAGTTATATATGGCATTTAAACTGTCCAGTCTAATTCGATTAATTTCGGTTTTTATTATTTCTGTTAGTTCATTTTTATTGAATGTTTTTTGTTTAACTTCAGTAGAATTCCACAACCATCCTTTATGTATAACAACTTCTATTGTTTTGTTTATAATTGTCTTAACAAAGGTAACTACTATATCTGGTTCTTTTAATTCATTTAAAGCATTATATTCAGCATATATGCTATCAACAAATAAGTCTACCATATCATCTTCCGAATTCAATAAAATTGAAACAAAATTGTCAAATTCAGTTACACATGTCATTAGTTTATCTATAGCATCATTATTTAATTGCTGTTTTTTTGATGTTCTAAGCAATGTAGCAACAATCATTCTGTTAATCAAAAACGAATAAATTTTCTTTCTCTTTGCGATTGTAAAAACTTCTTTTGGTGACATATTTGTATCAAAAACGGCATGCCAACCAAATAATCTTTTTGGTAAATAATTATCTTTATCATCACTTTTTAATGCTTGTCCTTGTATTACTACTAATGAATATAAATTAATACATTCTGCCCAAGTACTTCTCCACATTGATCTATTATCACCAGTTGTATCATTTACAGTATCTATTTCTTCTAATTTTGTATTCATATTTAACTTTCTGTTTCTATTTTTAAGTGCATCTGATAAATTCAAAAATATCATTTTTGTTTCTTCGGAATCTTTATTATTGTAATTTGATTTCACAGTTTGTATTGTTTTGGTAACTATTAGTTTATTCATTTTGTTATTACCATTAGATTGACCCGTTGATTTAAATCGATGTTCAGTTTTTAATTGATCATTGATAGGAATACTTTTACTATTTTCTAATCGAATTAATAAAAGTCCTTTTGCATCTTCATTTATATCAAATCTATTTAGCACCAAGTTATTTAATTCATTAATTAATTCGTTGTTTAATGTTGATTTTTCAGTCATGTAAGCCAATGTATAAACAAGTTCAGTCCTAACTAACTCGTTCTTACATCGTTTCATCAAATGGATAATATCAGCATATTGAATTTCGTTTGCCAGTGTTTTGCTATTTCGAGTTAAATACTTTAACGATAAGCATAGAAAATATTGAGCTTGTTCATCAACCTTACCATCTGAGTCTTCCGAACGTTGAACTTGTTCATCAGCATTACCATCTGAGTATTTCCAACCTTGAACTTCTTCATCAACATTATCATCTGGGTCTTCCCAATATTGAACGTGTTCATCAACATTACCATCTGAGTCTTCCGAACGTTGAACTTGTTCATCAGCATTACCATCTGAGTATTTCCAACCTTGAACTTCTTCATCAACATTATCATCTGGGTCTTCCCAATATTGAACGTGTTCATCAACATTACCATCTGAGTCTTCCGAACGTTGAACTTGTTC